GAGAAATAGGGTGATTCAGACGACATTAGGCATTAAAGAAATTAGTAGGGCAGTAATAATCAGACATCACAATAATATAAAGTTGGTTTGCTAGGGAGGGGGGGGGGGGCGCAGCCAATCAGAAATTTTTTGAGAAATTATGTGTTTTAGACGACATTTGGCATTAAAGAAATTTGTAGGACAGTAATTATAATCAGACATCACAATAATACAAAGTTGGAGGGCTAGGCAGGCGCAGCCCTGGCCTTCGGAAAATTTTTGAGCAATAGGGTGTTCCAGACGACATTTGTGGGACAGCAATAATCAGACATTACAATAATACAAGGTTGGTGGGCTGGGGGGGGGCGCAGTAATAATCAGACATCACAATAATATAAAGTTGGGGTGCTGGGGGGGGGGGGCGCAGCCCCCAAGAAAATTTTTAGAAATTATTTGTTTTAGACGACATTAGGCATTAAAGAAATTTGTAGGACGGCGATAATACAAAGTTGGGGGTGCAGCCCCCGGAAAATTTTTGAGAAATAGGGTGTTTCAGACGACATTTGGCATTAGAAATTTGTAATTTCAGACATCACAATAATACAAAGTTGGGGGCTAGGGCCTAGGGGGAACTCAGTACTTGTCACATTGAATGGAATAAGTACATATTGTATAGTGGGATTTGGGAATAATTTACGAAATGCTAAAGTCGATTGCCTGTCGTGTCGTTTAATCAAACAGTCATAACCACAGCCCACTTACCAGGCGACCATGGGGACTAGGGGGCTTATTTGGGGTTCAATTTTATTCCGGGGGTCTTCCCCTTGGCTACGTGTCTGCATTCTAGTTGCCAGACCCACTCTATTAGAGTGCAGACTCAACATTTTGGTTGCCAGACCCACTATTCTAGAGTCCAGACCCACAATTCTGGTTGTCATATCTCCTATATTCTAGTTCATAGACCCCCAATTCTGGTTGACAGAGTGAAGAATTACCATTCTGGTTGCCAGATTCACTCTTCTAGAGAGGAGACCCACTCTTCTAGTAGGTATAGAGTCAAGACCCACTATTCTAAAATGCAGACCCACCATTCTGGTTGCCAGACCCACTCTTCTAAGGCGAAGACCTACCATTCTGGTTGCCAGCCCCACTCTTCTAGAGTGTAGACGCACCATTCCGATTGCCAGACCCACTATTCTTGAGTGAAGACCCACCTTTCGGGTTGCCGGACCCACTATTCTAGACTCTAGACTCCAGACGCACAATTCTGGTTGCCATATATCCTATATTCTAGTTTAGACCCCCAATTCTGGTTGACACTTGACAGAGTGTAGACTTACCATTCTTGTTGCCAGACCCACTCTTAGCTAGAGTGAAGACCCACTATTCAAGAATTCTGACCCACCATTCTTGTTTCCAGACCCACTACCCTAAGGTGCAGACCCACCATTCTGATTGCCAGACTCACTCATCTTCATTCCCTTGATTGCAGACCCACTATTCTGGTTGCCAGACCCACTCTTATAGATTGCAGACACACCATTCTAGTTGCCAGACCCACTCTTCTAAAGTGTAGACCCACCAGACCTATTATTCTAGAGTGAAGACCCACCATTCGGGTTGTCCAAACCCACAATTCTGGTAGCCATATCTCCTATATTCTAGTTTATAGACCCCCAAATCTGGTTGACAGAGTGTAGACTTACCATTCTGGTTGCCAGGCCCACTCTTCTAGAGTGAAGATCCACTATTCTAGAATGCAGACCCGCAATTCTGGTTGCCAGACCCACTATTCCAGATTGTAGACCCACCTTTCTGGTTTCCAGACTCACCCTTCTAGAGCGAAAAGCCACCATTCTGGTTGCCAGACCCACTCTTCTAGAGTGTAGACGTACCATTCTGATTGCCAGACCCACTCTTCAAGGGTGCAGACCCACATTCATGTTGCAAGACCCACTTCTAGATTTCAGACCCACTATTCTAGCTGCCAGACTCACTTATAGATTGCAGACCCACCATTCCAGCTGACAGACCCACTCTTCTCAAGTGCAGACCCACCATTCTGGTTGCCAGACCAACTTCTAGATTGCAGACCCACCATTCCAGCTGCCAGACCCACACTTCTCAAGTGCAGATCTACCACTCTGGTTGTCAGACCCACTCTTTAAGCCTGAAGGGTGCAGACCCACCATTCATGTTGCCAGACCCACGTCTAGATTGCAGACCCACCATTCTAACTGCCAGACCCACTTCTAGATTGCAGACCCACCATTCTAGCTGCCAGACCCACTCTTCTCAAGTGCAAACCCACCACTCTGGTTGTCAGACCCACTCTTCAAGAATGCAAACCCACCATTCTGGTTGCAAGACCCACTTTTAGATCGCAGACCCACCATTCTAGCTGCCAGACCAACTCTTCTCAAGTGTAGACCCACCACCCTGGTTGTCAGACCCACTCTTCAAGGGTGCAGACCCACCACTCTGGTTGTCAGACCCACTCTTCAAGGGTGTACGTACACCCACCATTCTGGTTGCCGGACCCACTTCTAGATTGCAGACCCACCATTCCAGCTGCCAGACCCACTCTTCTCAAGTCCACACCCACCACTCGGTTTGTCAGACCCACTCTTCAAGGGTGTACGTACACCCACCATTCTGGTTGCCAGACCAACTTCTAGATTGCAGACCCACCATTCCAGCTGCCAGACCCACTCTTCTCAAGTCCAGACCCACCACTCTGGTTGTCAGACCCACTCTTAAAGGGTGCAGACTCACCATTTAGCGGCCAGACCCACGCTTCTCAAGTGCAGACCCACCACTCTGGTTGCCGGACCCACTCTTCTAGAGTGAAGACTCATTATTCTCGAATGTAGATCCACAATTCTGTTGCTAGACCAACTTCTAGATTGCAGACCCACCATTCCAGCCGCCAGACCCACTCTTCTCAAGTGCAGACCCACCATTCTGGTTGTCAGACCCACTCTTCTAGAGTGAAGACTCATTATTCTCGAATGCAGATCCACAATTCTGGTTGCTAGACCAACTTCTAGATTGCAGACCCACCATTCCAGCCGCAAGAACCACTCTTCTCAAGTGCAGACCCACCATTCTGGTTGTCAGACCCACTCTTCAAGGGTGTAGACCCACAATTCTGGTTAACAGACCCACTTCTAGATTGCATACCCACCATTCTAGCTGCCAGACCCACTATTCTCAAGTGCACACCCACCACTCTGGTTGTCAGACCACTCTTAAAGGGTACAGACCCATCATTCTGGTTGCCAGACCCACTTCTAGATTGCAGACCCACCATTCTGGTTGCCAGACCCACTTCTAGATTGCAGACCCACCATTCTAGCGGCCAGACCCACTCTTCTCAAGTGCAGACCCACCACTCTAGGCAACAGGGGTGAATAATATCAACAAATAAAGATTGTTTAATTTTTGCAAAAATTTCTCGTCATGTGACAACCCTTCCCAACCCCCCTCAACTCCCTACCCCTCCCCCCTAAAAAACTCATCGGATTTTTGCTTCCCGCGAACATGATTTTTTCTGAAAATTTTTGTCAAGCCAGATCTGTAAATCTATCAAATATGTTAAAAAAAAACCTTAATTTAGATCCAAGAAAACAACAATTTCAAGAAAACAAGTGAAGATCCGAAGTAAACCCCAACACACCGAATCAATTGGGTTTCTGCAAGGGTGCTCAACCAGCAGACCACATACTGACGTTCTTAACATGCAGTGGAAAAATATGTGAAAGTCGAAAAGAAACTAGTCTTATTTTGCTTTGTAGACTATGCAAAGGCTTTAGATACTGTTTGTAGGGAAGCGCTACTCTACAAACTTTGTAAACTAGGAGTTCTAGGGCGATTTTTCGATTGTATGGAATACGTGTACACCCATTCCTCTGCTAAAATATAACTCCTCAACAAGTCCTCTGTGGGACTGAACAAGGGTATCTCATGTCCACAGAACTGTTCAAATGCTTCGTACATGCCCTCTCTGAGCTACAAGCTCCATCATTATTACTAAATCTAAAATAGCTAATAATTTGATTAATTATTAACAGGCCCCTTAACGTGGGCAATAACATACGCTTTATAAATTATATAAACAAATTCAAGTCTATTTTCCGATTTTGCTAATTGTCTCTTTGGATCTGTTTCGGTCTTTCAAGGTGACACATGCTCTGGGATGATGATTTAGTACTTCTGGCTTTGAACCCTGAAAGCCTTCATAAAATGATCTTTGTTCTGTACGCCTACTAGACTGTTAGGAGTGGGGCCTAGTGGTCAACATATCTTAAACTGCTATCATGGTGTTCAACCACGATGGTTGTATACTCAAAGAGAGCAAGACCTTCGCACATGGTTTAACATCGATCGACTCAGTTCGTGAGTACACGTACCTAGGAATGACTTTTACTCCGACAGGATTCCTGAGGTCACACAGCAGTGTGCACACATTAAAGATTGTGCTGACTTGATTAAGCAATAGCGCTGACTCGATTAAGTAACCGGCGTTTGAGAGAAACAAAGAACATTTTTAGCCGTATGTTTTATATGGTTTTCTTGTAACTCTTAATGTTTTTTTTTTACTGAGTCACCTTAAGCAGAAGATGTTTTAAAGTTCTGGATACCCACCAGATGGTGATTTCATGAGATTTGTACTATAATAATTAGTTGCAGAAATTGGTTTATGTACCAATCCTTTCGGATTTGTATTGGTGGTAAATACAGGTTTCTGCTTCTCCTCAGCAGGTGTTATACATGCAAAATATAGCTGGTCGCTCATTCATGAATTAATCTACAGATGTTTGAAACCGTTCTGATGTATCAGGAACACCCTGTAGTTATATTTTCTGGATCTTTTCTTTATATAAAGAACATAATTTTTCCCCTCAATTTTTCCTCAATCTTTGCATGAAACACCTGAGGTCAAAATTTATTTACCTCACTAAGTATCAGAAAGATCTTATAATTAACATTATTACTGATCAGTGACATCTCACTCTTAGATTTGATGGAATGAAATGATGGAGAGGAACTACACAGTACACGGTTAGGTAAACATGACCACAGCCCGCTTACCATACTCTTACAACAAAGGTATTTGGGGACTGTTACAATCTACTGCACTGTACAGTTATATTATCTTCTCATCAATTAAGTAGATATCAACACGATTGCTGTGAAAGTTTCTGTATAGTGTATAGTTATTTTCAAAATAAATGCTATTTAGCTGAGAACTTTTAAATCCTTGTTGAGCTACGTTTTACATGAAATAGAGGGATGCCACGTTTTATTGACTTGATTAAAATTTCCAGGATCATCACAGCAGGGCTCAGTGTACATCTTCAATAAAGATGAAGATGGTTCCTCTTCAGAAAATGAGGACATTCCATTAAAATCTGTCCGTTCTAGGACAAAGGTAATGTTTTAGAGATTACTCATATCAGGAATATGTTTCACGTGGACATGGAGTGTAGAGAAAATTTTTTGCAAACCCTTAGAATGATTTAGCAATTTTTAGCAAGTTTTAGCAAGTTTCGATATCTAAAACTGCACATTGTACTGAGGTATGATTTTAATTTTCAATTATCTTGCTAGTATTCGAATTCTGTAATCTGTATTGACTTTTATTCCAGCAGTTGAAAGAAGACAAGGACGTGACAGACACCATATCACACGTGGTACAGCCTAGCGACACCCTATCCTCATTATCCATCAAATACAACTGCAAGGTAAGTGAATGTTGCATGTGCTGATTAAGTGTAGTCGTAGGGCGATCCTGTGCACCTATTTGGTATTGGTTTATGGCATACTGGTTCAATAGTTGTCGTGCGAATAACGAAATATTTGTGGTAGTTGTACTAAGATGTACTGATTTCTGTGTTATGGCTAAAACCAGAGCTGGAGTCTAGATCGCTTGCATCCCTAAAATACAATTTTGTTAAAAAGACTGAAAGTTATTAGAAGCTTTCTCTTTACAGAACTTGGATAGAGTAACAATTATTGCTCTGCTATGGCTGATGAATGAAGATTTAAGGTTTTAAGGTTTCCCATTTTGTTATATAATACATGTACTTCACAATTAGGAATTGTTATTTCTAAGACTCCTAATTGTTTCTTCTCAAGTTAGATTATGGATTTTACACAACTACTTAGTTTACATTTTCGTTTATTATTTCACAATCTTAATCGTGTAGATTCTTAATTATATTCAATGATGAGGGCCATTGTCTTTTGTCGCTCAATGTGGCACCTGTTCATTACTACATTTCGTGAGTAACAAGGTGTTACATCATAAGGACTAGGAACTTGTCACATACTACTTAATTACTAGGTACTTAATTACTGCTTAATTACTACTTAATTACAGATTTTAGAACTCTGCCTCACCGTCAGCAAGTTTTTATAAAGGTTATTATTACATTAGCGTTAGTCTTTGTTTCACGCACTTATCATATATAAGGTGGAATTCTAATGTATCGCTGAACCAAAATGTACTGACGACAACGCAGCCTCATGCAACGTCCGTTTCCAGTACATCACGTGGCTTATCTTGTGAATAGCACGTTATGTCAGACCATCTTGTCGGTAGTACCAACTCTAATTTTAATCAAAATTCCTGTTTAGAGCCCATCCTTTATTTAGAACATGTCTGATTAGTTGTGCTGCTCAAATTCAGAACATTCTGTGTATTCTTATGATAATTCACATGTACTGAGTACACTGTGTGGTTAGGGCCTGTCGTGATATCATGGGTTCCACCTGGATCTGGTAGTCCTCATAATTCTGCGGCCTCTATGTATCTCGTACAAAAATAGGTGTCACAGTGTGGTGTGTACACAGTGTGTGTACACACGGTCTAGTGTGGTGTGTGGTGTGTAGTGTGTACACAATACACACCACACAGAGACACAGGATAGGAGCTTGCTAATCGCAATTGTTGTTCTTTGAAACATTCAACTATAATATTGAAGTAGAACTATTGAAGTATAGATGTAAAGGTGTAAATATTGAGGCAAAGAACTATTGTCTAAACATTGAGCAGATAGTATTAATTATTGAGGTTTATTACCGACTGTCCTCACGACTACAGGTGTAGGTTAACACGACATTTAGACACCTAAATTTATTTCTGATACACACGAGTGTAACATGTGATCCGGTTTCCTAATTCGAAATTGTTGTAATTTCAAATTTGTTTGTACCAACTTTTCCTCGTTATTACGAAACCTTTCATTCTAAAACTAACAAACCTGTGAATTTAGAGCTCCGCTTATATTCTTTGTATACATATATAATGAGACTGATCAGTCAGCAGAGGGTCCATTAAAACGGTCGATTAAACAGCCTTTTCACGTTTTCCATCTCGGCTTTGGATTTTATAACTTTAACTTGTTAAAAGGGGGGGGGGGGGGGGGGGGGGTCATGAGTATTTTTGAGAGTCCCGACGAAAATGCCAAATTCTCATTCTCAAAACGTTTCCAGGCGAAAAACTCATTCTCAAAAACTGACTTTGAGTATTTTTTGACCACATTGGACTGATATGAAGAATGATTTGGTATATCACTATTTTTGAGAAAATGATAAATCCATGCTGAATTTCTCGTATTCAAAAATAATTTTTGAGACATTTTTGAGAAAATGAGAAATCCATGCTGTATTTCTCAAGATTCAAAAATGATTTTTGAGAGGAAAATTTTTGAAAAAAATGAGAAACCCATGCTGAATTTCTCAGTTTTAAAAATAATTTTTGAGACATTTTTTGAGTATTCCCGGCGAAAATGGTAAAATTCTCAGATCCAAAAATACTCATGACCCCCCCCCCCCCCCCCCCCCCCCCCCCCCCCCCCCCCCCCCCCCCTAAAAAGGTCAATTTCTGTTTAAGTGCTCAACTAATGATTTCACAGAAGATGTTACTGGTGCTCCTTCGTAAATAATGCACAGTATTTAGTCCCTTCAGAATTGTTTAAAATGGGACTTTAACCTAGTCCACTTTTTCTAGTCACAATCATTCTATAATAACCGGGAATAGAGTTATTATATGTACAATACGGTTACACCAATGTTCTGACTCATTGTTTCCATGACATTGTCGAAACAGCTGATTTAGTGATTTTACCTCATGACATTCGTATAACCCTTGAACAGTTGCTCTAAGTTAAAAGTCTAAACCATTGCCATCTATGATGTTTAGCCGTATTTAGGGAACGTACTCTCAAATCATACAAAGCATGTTTAAGTAGCTTTCGAATGAATCCTTGTGTTTTTTATTTCCGGATATTTATCAGAAAATCGTTTGGGATAAATCTGTTTTAGTTCAAAATTTACTTTATGTTGAATTTCTGGGGCTTTCTTACACTGCAGAGGCCACATTTTATATTTTTCTTTAGCAATATACTTAACATGTTAACAAATAGGTCCACCCTAAATGATAATAGACATATTATATAGTATACAAAAGGTTCAAATCTCAACAAAAGTTGTCTCTAATAATGAGGGTCCGCAGTATAGTAGTCCCATTACCTTAGTATTGCTGTTCCACTACTAAATAAAAAAGTTGTCTCTGTAAAAGTTGGTATTGTTTAACGACTACACAGTGTGTAGCGACTACACAGTGTGTAGCGACTACACAGTGTGTAGCGACTACACAGTGTGTAGCGACTACACAGTGTGTAGCGACTACACAGTGTGTAGCGACTACACATCCAATGATAAATTTAAACTTGAGCACTTACAGATCCAGAATAGAGCATCAGTTACAATCATAAACAAAATCTAACTTTCCAATCAGCAGATAGATCAATTAGAAGCTATGAAAAGATCTCGATGCAAATTTTCATGTCATATTAGTTGTTTATAATTTAGATCTCAAAAGGCTGAGCGTGAGTTTTTAACATTGTAATGTTTGGTATGGAGCATCACCGAGAGTATGTCGGGAGCCGTGATGCTCCCTACTTAACATAACAATGTTTACAATTTCCAAAGGCTTGTGTCGTATTAAGTGACCAATATCGTCAGGTGTCGGAGCTAAAGCGGGTAAATCATATATGGAATGCTAATGAGTTATCAGCACGGGACAGCGTCTTGATACCAATCGTAAAACACAGCCTACTATTAGACCGGGACAACAATAATGACGATATCGTAAAGGACACTCCCCAGCCAGTAGATATTAGAACTATTAGTATCAAGAGTTTATCCGATTCCGTTGACACTGAAATGTTTCTGGACCGAATGAACAAGGACATAGAGACCTTGCTCGCTGCAACGCGGGATAAAACTAAGAAATCATCTCTGACTGAGGTGAAAAGTGCGCTGACTGTTGAACGAATATTTCCTAAGCAAGTAACAAGTAGTCGCACCGGATCGTCTTACTGCAATTATATTGGAATTTTCTTGGGGTTCTGTTTTTTGTTTGTAGGTATTCCAGTAACGCTAGTTTATTGGGAAGTTGTTGTTCAGCGGATTAAGAATGTTGGTAGATAGATTGCTGATACTTTTTAATTTTAACGGGTATGTAATTCATTTGATGTTAATTTCCCCAATTTTAAATAAAGATTCCCTTTATTTAGTGTTCCCTGTGTGCTTTGGTATGGCAGGTATTTCAGGGGCAGTGTGTTAAAGATTCCTTACATTCCCCTACATCATTTTGATTTGATATGTAAATAAAACATGAGGTAAATTTTATCATTAAATAAATGTGAATATAATATAAGATTTATGATGTCATCCTTGACCCAATGTTATATTGAGTGTTTTAATTTGATCTGCCTCACGGCTCACCCCTCCACTCCATAATATGTTGGCAAGATATCATAAATTATCGAAACTGTGGAAGAATTTTAACTTCGTTTGGAAGAATCAGTACGTTTGGTGTATCTTACGGAACAGTATGGCCGCATTTCGAAGCTGTATTGCATTTAATTTAAGAAGTACTAGAGCGCAATCTCCGCGCGACTTGTGCTAGTAAAAAGTTAAAGTTTACATCATTCAAAACCGCGCGCGTAAATATATTATATAGCTTTTAGCTTAGATATCATCTACGTAAACATTAATGTATGAGTACTGCGTAAATGTAACATATCTATTTTACTATAACTACCATCTATTATCACTAACTCAATGCTCCTCTCATTGACCATTTATGACAGTAAATTACTTGCTTATTTCGTCAAACTTCTCGTTATACCAACTCCTATTCTGAACAAGCCACGTCACCTTAATGTGCGTCTCATCATTTACAGCCTGGCTTAATGCAATGCGGTTAAGTCTATGTGCAAACAGAGTTAAATTCAGTAAGTCTTGTATTCTTAATAATTGTAAACATGTGATTACTGGCTAATGTTTGTACGTTACATCGAATATTAGCATACCAAACACTCACAATCGACTATTTGTTTGTCTAAACTAACGGTAATCAATGTATCAACAATGTATCAATAATCAACAACACGTACTCGCCATTATCATAACATGTCCGATGTTTGTATTGTATAACATCTTGTCTCTGCTTCTTGTTGTTTCTGGAAAGTTCTTCATCCCTCTCCAGCCTGGCGAAACGGTTCGAGTTTGGTGCCAGGGACATGATATTGAATTTGGGAACTGTAAAATAAGGGGTGGGACGAGTTGTCACAGAGACTTTACATACACAGATAGCCAGCTGCCTCTTTCATTGAGTTGTAGTGCCAAGAGTAGAGAAGATAGGGAGACTGTCTCGCTATCTGTTGAGATTGTTAGACAAGTTTTCAAGTCAGTAGCTGTCGAGATAAACGATGATGTTGGGAGATTGAGCTGTCTCAATAAATCACCTGTAAGCACTTTAAGAGATGATCCCCGTGAGACATATCCCATACTGTGGTGGGCAAGTGACGCTAGAGGGTCTGGTGCTACCGGGAACATTCTAGACTCTGAGTACATCAAACAGAGATTCTGGAACTTGGAACTTTATTTTATAGAACCGGGCGATGTAGTTAATTGCAATGGAACTAGATTTAGTCATGAGGATCTGAACAAGGTCTTCACTACTCCCCCAGTTTATGGGACTTTAATTGGCAAGACTGGTGAGCCTGTGAAACCTACTGTGCCGCCCAATAATGGATCAACAAATGAAACTTCCGTAGATAGTGGGCTACCAAAGAATTCCGGTTTATCAAGAACGACTTTATTTTTGGTTTTAATAGCTGGGGGAGTAGTGTTTCTATCTTGTGTAGTGTGTGTGTTTGTGTGGTTATGCTGGAGAAGACGGTTTAGTCAGCCGCGGAGAGAACCACTTCCTGTTCAACCCGGAAATGAGTATCAAAGTCCTGATCAGTGTTTAGACGTTCACTACGAAGATATAGATCTAAAAAACAGCCCTGGCTACGAAACTGACCTCCGTCTAACTCCCTCCCCCCGACTGTGTTCTGAAACTCAAAACACAAGGTTTCTAACTCAAGAAAGTAGCTGCCCAATAAGCCCATACAGTTACGCTAGAGTCCAGCGTGCACCTCTTCCTCCACCTATCCAGCTACATCCTCCCACACTTTCACAAACCCCTCCCATCTTGCTGGGGTACAGTCAGCTTCACGACCCTCTCCCTGACCTCATGTCCTCCTCGCAGCGTTACAACACGATACCCGGCAGGGACGGTGAAGTGGAGACTAGACAGGATGATGGACGCAGGTATAACAGACTTGCTAGGGATGTTGCTGAGGATGTGACTTTACAATACAATGTGCTGATCAGATAAGGATTGTTTTTACTGTCTTTATAAAAATCCTTCCGGGCTGTTAGAGTGGCAAAATAAGGGAATGAAAACCAAGTTTTTAGTTCGATTTTGAGGGGCGTTTGTTGTGGCTATGATATTTCATATTTGGGTTTACATTGTCTGAACAAGCTTGCAAATTTTGGATGATCGACAGGTTGACTGTATTATATAAACCACAAAACTTCGTATTTTTATGTACATCTGATAACCTCTTCATTACCTTTCCTCCACGTCTTTTGCCGTACTTCAGGCAAAATTTTGAGATTAAAACCTACTTCAGACAAAATGTAAGTTAAGAAGAGATTGATAAGATGCAATATATATGTTTCCATAACCTCCCTCTGGTACAATTTTAAATAAACAGGCTTCCAAGGTTCGATAAAAAGTATTCTCCTCTCAGATAAGAGGAGGGAAGTATTAAATCGAAGTTTTAAAACGTCTTATGATTAAAATTCTACTTTGAAGGTAAATGAATTATCTCGTCATGTTTCCAAATCCATATATAAATGTATATATATATATATATATATATTAAAGGAAGAAATAGAATGGAGCCAAGCAGATAATGAAGAAACTATAGCGCTGCAGTCACAGAAGATCAAAGAATTAGAGCACCAAATGCAGATCAAAGAAGCGGATAATGCAATGATTTCCGTGGAGATATCTCAACTGAAAGAAGCAGTAAAAGAGGATATTCAGAGTATGAAAGAAGAAATTAAACTTCTCGATCTGAACGATGCAACGAGTGCTCAAGTGTGACTGTGCTCAATGGAGAGGTAGAAAATGGTAATCCCAGACCCAAATGCGCTAAATTTTGCAGTGGTACAACTGGGAGGAGGACGACTTGGTCCTTAGCGTCAGGAAAGTACGGATTCACTGTGTACAAAGAGGTTGATATAAGTGGCTATCACTACCACAAAAGAGGGTCATGCCTGGTATGGTGCTGAGGGGCAAACAGTCGGTATATCTACCGTCTATCGTGACACATCTCAATCTTTTTTGTTGGTATTAAACCCATACCATCTACTTTTGGATCAGCATTTGCCAGACGTTGGAATGTTGAATGGATAGCAGTAGGTTTTACGTGCTAAACATTGGGAATGGTTGTGGAATGTGGATACTGGGTTTTGACAGAAGACAATTATTACACGCTTGTTGATACAATGTTTTTCCTCATTCAATTTCAAAGCCGTTGAAGTTTCAAATGACGCTGATAAATATTGCAAATTTGTAGCTCTTGGCTGACATGATAAGTTTTTACTAATACATCACCAACAAGCCAGCACAGCAACATGATGTGCTTATACCTGGTGTTGTATATTCCACCCCCGCTTCAAGCTAAACACTTCTCCCCAACTCTCCGTTCTGCCTACATTCTACAACTTGCTGCAATCTCTTCTCTTGATACACACTTTCTCACCATGTTACAAGCGGGAACAAAGCTCTCCAAGGACCCTGCCGAGACTAAAGATTCCCCCGAACCCCAATTGTTCCCTCCTCTAAACTTGCCGTTCAGACACAGTGTAGTTGATGGTTGGGTTTACCCACCTTTCATCAAAGAGGACACGATCGAGAGAACCCGCAAGTTCCAGCTAAGAGAAGAAGATGTGTTCGTGGCTACTTATCCCAAGTGTGGTACGACCTGGACACAGAACATCATCTCCAAACTACACGAGGTCCATCAGACAGGGGCTCTACAAGGTCTCGGGAGTCACTTGCTGGAGATCATACCTTGGTTAGAAAACTCCTCTCACGAGCATATCGCAGAGAGACCCTCTCCGCGCTACCTCAAGACTCATAACCCCTACCAGCACCTTGCTAGAGATCCAGCAGTTCGCTGCAAGTACCTTGTTGTATCTAGGAATCCGAAAGACGCGTGCGTCTCCCTCTATCACCACGCTAAGGGGTTCTCTGTTTTCAAATACTCTGGAGACTTCCACAGTTTTGCTGAGCTGTTTTTAGAGGGCAAGGTTGAGAGTGGATGTTGGTGGACTCATCTCAGACAGTATAAGAAGAACAAGGAAGACCTGGATATTTTGCTGCTGAGATACGAGGATCTCCATAGTCAAGGTCTCCACATGATCAAACAGATTAACGACTTCGTAGGGCTGCCAAGTCTTACAGATTCTGATTGTGAACGGGTTCTGGTGGAAACTTCCTTTGATAAAATGAAGAAGGATCCTTCTGCTAACTACTCGTGGATGGATCAAGGAAGAAAGAAGGAGGAGAGCCCCTTTATGAGGAAGGGAAAAGTCGGGGATTGGACAAATTTCTTTAGCAAGGACTTGAGTGATAGGTTTGACATGAAAACGAGGGAGACGTTAGGAGAGTTTGAAGTTTTCAATGATTACATTACTGGGTTCCCAGAGCAATGAGTCATGTAAATTATACTGTTTTATAATACCAATAAATTACATTTTTGCTGAATATTTACCCGAAAAATTATGGATATTGTTGATGAATGACACGAAAATTTTCTTTTAAAATAAAAATCTTTACTGTTTTACATTCTACATTATTAAAAAACGATTAATAAACTGATTTTACTGTCCCTCTGGTAACAAAATATCGACCATTTTTCATTAGAATTATTGCCTAATACTCAACGCACCTCTGAATTGCAGAAAATTGAATTCCGAATTTTTGCCTAATACTCAACGCACCTCTGAAATTGCAGAAAATTGAATTCCGTTATGATTTATGATAGTCTGTCATCCAATGTCAACCTGGCCATTAATTGCTAATATCACCCCGAGAAATCGGACTTGATACCGGCGATTTGTCTCAATTCGTGATGACATTTCTCTTCCTCCGCAGGCGTATTATGGGGGTCTTTATTTGAAACCATCTCCGATGAAATCCGAAACGCCACTATACTATACGCCGCTTCTTCAGTTCAGAGCAAATCAGTTGACAAATTTCAAAGGTCGTCATGTTTTCTACCACGAATGTTCACTTTCCAGACTAATTCATTTCAATGCTACAAATCACGTGGCTATCATGTTGTGCAGGAAGCCCTTCTTGTATCCCTCATATTCCATCTGCTGGTAGAAAACAACGATGAACGCAACAACTCCAGAAAATATCGCTACTGAGAATATGCCAATCACAACTAAGACGACTATAACTGCGGGATGCATTCCGTCGGCCTGAAGGCGGTGAAATGTTATGCACGTGTTGTGACCTCATAGCACGTGCTGTGATGTCATAGCACGTGCTGTGACTTTATACCACGTGATATGACGCCATAACACCTGATCGAACTCTAAAATTTTATTGTTATTACAACGATGATCTAGGAAAATCTATTTTTGTCAGGATAACTCACCTCGGTGCAGCTTAAGATCTGGCCCCCTACTTCACACTGCTCCACCAGATGTACTAACAAGTTATCATTGAACAGGTCCGGTGATATCATTTCCATCCACCCAGCGGTACCGGCCTTGTACTTCCTGTAGTTAGTAAGATAATCACGAAATTATACTCCTAAATGGTCAACAATTTGGATGAAATGGGGTTCAAACAATGAGAAACATGAAGCTAAATGTTCGTACTAACTTACTAACGAGATAGTTATGAAATTGGCTCTGACTTTGCAGACAGTTCAGTGTAATTTTAAACTGAGATTCTACAAGTACTTGACTCCTGCATGTACTTGCTGCACATGACTCCTGATTTGGAAAAGCAGTGACCTAAAATAACTCAAACACCTGTTACTCGTCACAAGAAAACGTCAAAAAGTCAAGTTTGACAAATAATTCATAACAAGATAACATTTAAACAGCAATAATAAAATTTATATTTCCTTACATGAGATCAGCCAGACAGCAACCAGGATTCCTCTCCCGCTCAGATGCTATGATAACAAGATGGTTCTTACACTGGTCCGTGCAAGTCACTGCACTGCCTTTTTTCCATTGTCGTGTCTCTGTTCCACATGCCTTACTCATGTTCTGTACCACCTTTTGATGATCAATTTGAGACAATATCAATAATGAAACATGGAAATGAATAATGGAAAACAGTTTACCACTATATCATACTATATATGGATATACATGATTGGATGCGAAGGATAGTACTTTTTTCTCGGCATCCATTTCATCATGTCTCACAAGAGAGTACCTGTTTAGTACCTGTTTAGAGTGTACCTGTTTAGAAAATACCTGTTTAGAGTGTACCTGTTTAGAGTGTACCTGTTTAGAGTGTACCTGTTTAGAGTGTACCTGTTTATAGTGTACCTGTTTAGAGTGTACCTGTTTAGAGAATACCTGTTTAGAGTGTACCTGTTTAGAGTGTACTTGTTTAGAGAATACCTGTTTAGTACCTGTTTAGTACCTGTTTAGTACCTGTTCAGAGAGTACCTGTTTGGTACCTGTTTTGGGTGAACCTGTTTAGAGAGTACCTGTTTAGAGATATTGCTGTTGGTATCCAGGTACTCAATACAACTCTCCTCTGTTTTCTTATCAGCTAAACTGGCACACAGCAGATCAGCTGACTTGTACATGAGTTCTCTGAGTTGCAAGTGTGAAATACCCGGCAGGACGTCCTGTATCGGTAAGTCTGAAACACAGTTCCTCATCTCTCGCGTGACTGCAGTGAAACAGTCGTCCTTGCATAACTTTCTGGGATTATTGTAAAAATGTCAGACTCAGAACGCTGAGTAATATTTGCAGAAGAAGCGTGCTCAAAGACAAGTGGTGCTGGCAGACATTTGTTGTAGGTGGAAAATGGCAAGTTCAAAATGGTTTGGATTCGAACAAGAAATGCGGCCGCTTTTCTTTGGTGGGAAAAAATTAGATTAAATGAAAGGAAAAACATGATGCACTGGTTGGTACAAAACGTGATTTGAGCTAAACTCACTTGATGATTTCCCACTGATCAGTAAGATAAGATGTCACGTCGGTAACAGAAACATTAGTGGATTTGTAGAAACCATTAATGAGATACTCAGCTAGTTTAACTCCGTGTGACTGACACTCAACCTGTAAGTATTATCTGTACTCCGTTGTATACACCGAATTTCACAGGATTACACAGAATTAAAATTAAATTATAAGTCCACTATCGTGATCTTTGTGTTTATTGTACACAATGCAATTGAATAGGTAAACAAATCATTCTCCAGGTTGGTTTAAAATCTGGGCCAGCATTGTATACATGTGAGATGTTTGTAAAATTGGTACTCCTCAGTGTTAAAGTTCATAACCTGTCCGTCCATTCGTAGTTCCTAGGACCTAAACCTTATCAAGTCTGAAAACCTTTTAGCTACTTAAAAATGTTCGATTCTAAAATTACAATTATAGGCTACTGATCAGCGAAGAGTGACTGTAGCAAACCTTATACTTCATATTTTTCATGATGTAGTCCACACAGAACTTGGTACTGTACGTAAGATTAGATGTCGTAGAACAGTCGTACGTTTTTACCAGCTCAGGCACCATTTTTTTCTCTGGATGGGCCTTGCTCCCCTCTGAAATAGTGTCACGTGAACACACTTTGAATTCATCAGTGTAACTACAAAAGTAATGCAACAATAAGTTCTTAAAATCTGAAAGAAATACAGGCTGTAGAAATTGACCTCTTGTGTTAAGGACCATTTTAAATTCTCTGTGTTCAGTGCATTTCTTTGTCGTGACGTCACATCCCCCACGTGTTTTTGACACGGATGATTTGTACCTGGGGTGTATTTAGGGTTACTTGTAGTGGCTTGGTGGCTAGAACGTCAGTCACATGGTGTAGGAAGGGTGTTCAGATACCAGTGATTCAGAATCAAGCCACTTTTAGCTTTTTACAATACGCAACATTTATAATTCAGTTAAAAGATTGTACTATAACATAATATATAGTATAATATTGTATTTGGGCTAGAAGGGAAATATAATTATTATTTATAAGGATTAAAAGATAAGCCCACCTCTCATTCCACTTGGTGTTGGTATCATTGCAAGTTTTAGTAAAATTAGTACAGTCGACTGTCTCCTTCTCACAGGTTGTGTCACAACTTGTTAGCTTCTGCTCAGTGGTGCTGGTAATCGTGGAATTTACTGAACCTGTACACCTGCCACGTGATAAGTGTGTTATGTGTCATTTACACTGTAAATGCCGCATGTTTATGTAGTTTTGACTGCCATTCTTTCCATTTGTAGGTTAAAAGAAAAGTAAAGAATGTAAATTGTTGGTAGTTAACTGATAAGACGTAGGACCACTGTAAAATAGTGTGTTTTATAGTGTGTTTTATAGTGTGTTTTATAGTGTGTTGTATCACTGTAATGGTAGTAACCGTACCTAATGGAGGTGGAGTTACAGATGGTTCTGGCTGGTTTAAAACCAGGATAGCAGATTGGGGGGTTGTATTGAGGGTAACCCACTGCTAGTCTACTTTTTGGGACTTCAGAGACTACCTTACACTCTCCATAAAACTCTCTGAAATAAGAATTTATTTTAGACTCCTTAAGTAAGTTTTGTTCTTGCGAATCTTGCGAATCTTGCGAAAGAATTCAAGTTAAAACAACAACAAAACGGTTCAATTTACACATAATTAAAATAAATAGCAGCTACTTAGGTGACATAGGTAAGTGACTTACTGGCAAGTTGCCAGCCCTCCGTCCACATTATGATACAAAGTACAGATCCTCTCAAAATCTAAACAGGTTCGTTCAAAGTGGTGGGTGCTGTTCGGATGGGTTTTGACAACACTGTTGTTATATGTGCAGGACTGAGTGAAACTTTTGACACTGTATTTACAAGTACTTTGGACCTGGTTATTTTCTATCAACTCGTAGTGCGGCTCCACCTTCGCGGTTATTTCACATTCTATGTGAGCACCTGGGAGGTTGGAAGGTGAAATGGTTATTTTACACTGGGCGTAATTTTATGCCTATCTTGAGTATGTAAGTACTTATCTTGATGAACAGGAAAGATTTTTATCAACTTTTCATGTAACTCAACTCGAGGATGATGAAATTTCGCAAAGATACAAACTCCTTAATTCATGATCTCTTTTACGGAATACCTAAAAGTTAACAGGCATTACGTACCATTGTATGGAGGGATAGTACAGAGATGATCCTCGGTAATAGCATTAACATAATAATCCTGAGAGTTAGAACTCTGCACCCAAACAATAACCAAAACCACTACCAGTTCCACCCTGGGTACCATGTATCTTGTTGGTCTGTAATATTAGGAGATAATATCAGTAGTATTAGCAGATAATGGTACCAGCGGAGATAATGGTATCAGAGATACAGCCGCCCAGGACACGGGGAGTGTTTGTATTGTTCCCTTTTGTGGGATGGTTTAAAATAGCAATTTCAAAGGGTTCAAATCATATTTGACATGAACAATACTTGATTATCAAATGAATAGGCCGGTATTCAGAACCACTGGGTAAAATAAAGCAAGGTGGTATAGGTAACTGGTAGCTAGACAAAGTACGAAGTGTGTGTCAAGCTGGTGAGCAAACCAGAGACCACCGAGTCAAAGAGAGGCGGAGCAAAGGACACTGGTCGACATACACAGATTGTCCTGGTCACATAATTAATTATACACTCACATAATATTATATCACTATACTGCAGGGAGACAATCAGCTAATCAGACACTGCTACCGCTCACGATCTGAAGAACACAGTAGTGGCCTGCTCGCTCTGCTGTCTTTATCTAATTGGGCAAAAATGTCTTTGACATTACATTTACTGTTTAAAAGTTTGCGTGCGGGTCAGTCCGTTTTACGTCGATAAGTCTACTGTTTTATGACGTATAAACAAAGCTAGACGTTTCAGGGCGAGGTTATCTTAACTAAAATCATTAACTTAATCAATAACGCGAGTAGAAATAACGGCTTTGATGAAGCTCTCTTATCTGGGTACACTCCTTAGCAAATTATTTTAAAAGTTTGAACCACAACATCGGAATAACGAATCTTCTCGACTAACTTCTAAGAAATAGTTTTAGTGGTTAAAATTAGTGCACGAATATTGCGATATAAATTATAATGACTACCAGAAATCTGCTTATTTATTTCTTGAAAACGTGAAGTCTCTTTCAATGTGATCAGATTTGCGTTATTACAGTAAAACCCGCATTTTCTGGGAGTCTTGGGAAAGCAAATTTAGACTAATCTTCCCTGTAAATCGAAATCCCCAGTAATTCGGGGTTTACCCATGTCATTGATCATATTTTTGGGAAGCGAAAAATCTCGGTGAGTCGTGGTTTATCAGAACACGGAAAATCGAGCTTAAACTGTATGCTAACTAAAAGCACTCATTATTAATAACATAAACACTGATCCTACGAAAAACAACACAGCAAAGCAACGTAATGAGTTTATAAAAAGTATAACGATAACTACAAATACAAGCATAAGATAAGGTCATTTCAAGCAATTTCAGGCACTACACAGTACGTTGTCTATGTACTGGTTAAGTCTGGTTAATTGTGGTTTGTGGTCACATGACCTCGTTGTCACATGACCTCGGTTTACACAGCCTCATTACGCTGTCAGTAAGCTGTAGTACTGAGAGATCTTCTTGCATATTACAGCGCTCACGTCACGCAAATTGCTGGCGGTAGATTCCTCGGCCGCTGAAACATTAGACTTCCGGGATATTGGAGGGGAGGAGGTGGGGGTTTTAACTTTTCATAGGAGTTAGAGAAGATGATATGTTGAGTTAGGGTGGCTGTTTGATTGGGTTCACCCCAATATCTCCTAGTCCTTGAGTCAGATCGTACTTAGCACAACCACACTCAGTATAATTACACCAATTAGTACAATTTAACCGCAGCTCCATTGATCTTTAACATATGTGTAATGCACAATTTTGTGGTTTTTCTGCCTTTTAAAGTTGGCGACTCGGGCAGTAACTTGTCGAGATATAATATAAACTTCGTTTTTTAAGTAACCATGGATCAAACTGCGAGCAGCAGAATTAAAAGATGGTCCTAACTATGAACAGGGATGGCCAAATCCCTCGAATGATGGCAGCCCACCGCTTCTATTTTTTAAAGAATTTCAAGTAGTCAGATATAACTTTTGGTCGCACTTTAGCTCTATCAAACGACAAACAGTAATTTAAACGAACAACGAAATACTTTAGAGATTAAACAGCGCCACTGTAATTAATGAAAAATACCCCAGAAAGACCTGAGCGCACTGTTTAAGATCGTCAGTCCACAGTAGAAGAATGCAATAAGCTTAGACCGAAAATAGCTACTCATATAATATTGTATTATTACATATTTATATTGATTGTTCTTTTAGAACATAAACTGTTTTTATTTCTTTGTCTTTACAGCCCTGCCAAAAGTGGAAGACAATCAAACGTAGGTAAGGCCTAAGTACCATTCATTTAATTTCTTCGGAAAATTAGTATCGAAAACAGTGAGCTGCAATTATAACGAACAGCCTTAGATGAACAGTAGATGGCAAATTGCCGAAATAAGGGCCGTCCTTATAAGGTAAATAAAAATATATTCACATATCATAATAATTCAAGCTGTTACGCAATACTAATAATTATGTCGTTTCATATTAATCAACTTGCAGTATCGATCAATCAGATAATCAGAATGCATAGTTATTGTCACGCGTCAAAATCTTCCCAATACAATGGTATCTGATGTGTTTTTCTTTCAGATTTCAACATCGTATCCTTACTTATTTACTGATATAGACGGATCTGGATTCTAGCGGGGAGATGATCCATGTATTTGTTTTGACAAGTGACAATGGTTCTGGGATTGATAAGACAACGCTGGAAGCTGATTATTCACTGTCACGTGTTGGAAAAAAGTAATCCACATCCCTACCAATATCCAGATTGATGGATTAATAATGATAATAATGATAACACTGATCAGATGTTCGAAATTTCTAACGAAAACTTATACCTTTTTTAGTTAAGGTAAAAGTTCTAAATGTAACTGTCTACATTACATTCATGTTCTCAAATCGTGTGTTGCAAAGAGCGGTTTCCTTGGTCTTTACAATGTGAATACAAGAAATTATGATCATTAATCGGTATGCAACTAATAAATAATGTTCTAATCCGGAATTACACTATTACATAGATAAAAGATAAATGATAGTCCTTTATATGCCGTTTTTTAACGGACCAAATCGTGAGCAGTGGAAATTATGAGCAGAGAAAGGCCGCTCACGAGTTTTATTTTTGCATTTTGCCAAAATGATTTTGGCAATTTTACAATAATTTCTAAACAGATATCCTTGATAAAGGGCCCCAATTTCAATGTTTTCACTTTTCGGCTGTATTTAACTTTAACTAGGTAGTGCGCCATCGACAGTGAGCCGCGCGTGCCGACTGTAACTGTAGGATGGTTTTTTAGCGCTAATTTCGGCCAGCACAATTTTCTTCAAACAAATAGATATTAAGTATCCTTCCCGACCTCCGATTGCAACAAAAATTGGTAAGCTTACTCATAGACTTACAAGGAAAGTGTCCGAAAAGTTTAAAGCATATCCAACCATCAGACATTATGTTACAGCTAAAAGCAGCGTATTTTGCCCCATTTTGATCACTATATCAACTCCGATATCCATCAAATTTTTCGGACAGTTGTAAAAGCCCTATTGGAAGGTCGTCGTCAATTTTCAGAATGATCTCATTCAAGGAACTGAAGATATATCCAAATAATACGACAAAAATCAACGAATTTGGTCAAATTTGGTCAAATTACGCGACTTTTACAGCTAATTTTGCTCCAAAAGCCGCGCACTATCAAATATGGCACCTAGGCGAAACTCGTTGATCTTTCTAAAAAGGTATGACAAATTTGGTATTGTGAAAATTCTCACAGTCTCTAGAAAACAATGGTACAAAAAATTTTTAAATCCGAGCAAGTTTATTTTTATGGTGCACCCCCTACTTTAACTCAATCAACAAACTAAACCGCAATTAAATCTTTTCTACGGGATCTGTCAACCTTGTTTATTACTATTAGATAACTCGTTATTCGTGAATTCCAAGTTAATATATTACAAGTTCAAGGCACTTAAGACGTTGAAGGCTAACTAGAACAACGGGTGAGAAAAAAGTTACGGTCGCGGTGGCTACGGAAACTTTGGAATTATTGATTAAACACGGCTATAAATTCAAATGCAATCAGATGTTAGTAATACCGTTGACAAGTATAATTTTCTACCCGATATAAATTATAAGGATTGTTCAAAATGAGCGACCCAAACTGTGTGCGGACAAATTTTTGAGCTGCCTATTTATGAGCCATAGCCAATTTAGATGTTTTTTCTTCGAGATGGCCAGGCCTACTCTCATGCTGTCTATATGTGATGATTATCATTAACTCCGAAAAACTAGGGACAACTGGGGAATGATCCCAGAACCTCGAGATTTCGCGTCTCTTGCTCTACCAATTGAGCTACTGGGATCATTCCCCAGTTGTCCCTAGTTTTTCGGAGTTAATCATCACATATAGACAGCATGAGAGTAGGCCTGGCCATCTCGAAGTGATAATAATAATTAAATGTTTCGCAGATTGGCAATTGATCGGTGTAGTTGGTGTTGTACACACTGCACTGATAACGATATCACGTTGAACGTGTAATGTAAATACAGTGTGGATACATGCGAATATATATTCTAAATAACTGACCAATTTAGATGCTAAAATTAAATTGCTCGTTTACACTTAATCCAAATTAAAAGGGCGAATAAGGTAGGACTAGGTTTTAATAAACCAGTTTCTATATCAGTTCTTTTTCTCCATGGTTCCAATTTTTTGTAGATACGAATAATATATTATCCGGGATATAAATTGTAAATGTGTTCCACTAGGTACACGTGTTGTAGCTGTGTGTGGACTGTGGCCACACTACAGACATAATGTGTCAGCATCTCATGATCAGCTTCACTTTCCTCATTCCTGTTTATGTTGCGGTATTCTCAGTTCTTAACTGTTTATACGTTATTCATATCAGTAGTCAGTAACATTTTATCAGTTTAGATGAATCCCACGTTTTTTAATTATAGTGATTTTTATCACTAAGATAGCTTTTCAAATTAAAGTACATAGTTAGGAGTTAAGTACCCTCTGTAACCAGTTCTTTATCTCGATTATCATAAATACATAGGAAATAATTAATGCTGGTATATTCACTATTTAGAGTTATAAGTCCTCGTGATCATGGAACAGGAGACTACAGAAGAGGAGAGAGTGGAGGAGAAGAAGAGGAAGCTGCTCTATCTTCCTAAGACCTTGTCCTTGTTAACCTGTCCTACTGTAACGAGCACGTCCCGTGTAGAGATGATGTTTAATATTGTTATCTGTGTGTACTGTGTTCCAACTCGTCTTAATCACATCACTCACTCACTCTCTCATCTATAAATACCCAACTAACAGTCAGCTCTATAAGTTCAACCAAACGGTCAGCTTTAAAAAATTTTGGGGGCCGACTTTATCGAAACACCACAGTGACCTCAGTCGTCACACTACGGTGTGATGGTCAGTGCGCGCAGCTGCACACGTACATGCAGTTGTAGTGCGCGCAGCAGCACGTGCAACTAACACAGATCCCAGGACCATGTCATACTCGCGAGGTGACCCACGGTCACTACCTTGTGGGAGGAGAGATATACTATGCTGATCAGTACTTTACGAACGAGACAGTTGTAACGACTGCGTGTAAGGAGGGTTACATTGCTTCTCAACCGACTGTCAGGTGTCTTGAGTCTATGTTTTGGGAGACTTTCTCGTGCACCAAAGCGGGTAAGATTTTTTGTTGTTTGTGTCATTAATTCTTTATGAACTCAATTCTTTATGAACTCAATTAAATAGCGTTATGAATAAATATTCGACATGTTGTAACCTATCTTTTTCGACACGATCGGAGAAATTTATTTTTGACGGCTGATTACTTTTCAGGAGGACTTTGCAAAGTGCTATCCCTCAAAAATGGTCAATACAGTGACCTAAATGGAACAGTCTATGCTGCAGGGTCGCCAGTTCAAGAAACTTTGGAACTCACCCCAAATTGCAGAACTAACTATGAAATCAACAAAGTCGGCAGTTTTACTTGCAAAGATACAACAACCATCAGCTGCAACAGTGGGTAAAACATGGAATCATTTAATTATTATGATTTATTCGACTTTATGTATTGTTTATTTATCATACATTTGAAACGTGATTGTTTTAAATACATTGAAACAATACATTATTTTGTGATTGTGTTTGCGGTGGCTAAATTGGCTTTTGTCTTTGACTTTTGTGTGAACTTCCCCCGTCTCCGTACAACATTACATTTAAACGCATACAAATTACAATCGATTGCGGCATCTTTATGGCAATTGAAACGTCTTTTACCGCCTCACATAATATTCTGATCTATTCATTTCAGAGAAGAAAGACTCGTGTCCGAAACTACCGCTCACCTCCCACCAAGTATCGTGTCACGTTTTCAAGGAAACTACACTGTACACGTGCACAATGACGTGTTTGCTGGACTACTACATTATCAGTACAAACGAAGGTACAGCGAGCATGACTCAGTCTCAGAGCATCTCTTGTAACTCTGTTACTGATACATGGTCCCATCAGAGTACTGCCGGGGATATCAGATGGGACACTTGTTCACGTGAGTCCATAATGTTGTATGCGAAATACTTTCATATCTATCAAAAAGCTTTTAAACCTTTTGTGAGATGAGTGCGCGACCACAATCGTCAACCCCCGTCTCCCTCCATGTTACCAAGCATGCTAGTCTATTGCTCAATTCTCTCACGTATGCAGGATCTCGGAAAGAGCGCCGCGCAAGGGACATGATCAGGCACGCCTGGTAACCTCCATGTTGTTAACTTTACTCTTTTACTCAACTGAGATATCCCCATGCTGTTACCAGGGAAATTTTGTGACAATTTAAATCTAAATCCCGTCTCTCCAATCCTCAGCAAGTGTACCAGCTTCAAAACACTCGCTGTCAGTAAATCTAACACTGACCGGAGGATCGTGCCCTGGTAACACCACTCAACTCGACTCCGCACTCAGCACGTGGTTAAAAGCGCAGGATGACGGCGCGTACACGTGCTTCAAAGATAGCACGTGCTATATTGGAAATGGGAGTCAGTGTAAAGGAGATGGCAGTGGTGTTGTTTACAGCTTTAATTTGTTGCAGTCTAAGAAAGTTGACTCCAATTGTGAGTTTATGACAAATATTTTAGATATCTTTTGTCCACAGTACATATTTTCTATAGAATTCTGTGTATTTCTTATTTACCAAATGGCAAATACCAAGTGCTGAATATTACAAAGGCTAAATTTAATTTAATTTCAACCAGCTAAATTCGCATCATGTATTTAAAATTGACACGTATTGTCAATGTTTGAACCAATAAAACTGTTCCAAAAAAGAGCAATTAAAACTAACTGTCTCCACCCTAATTTTATGATCCCTGTGTTTTGCAGTGCTAATAAGTTTGGGAACTAAGTTGGTTGAGGAGGCGAAAACAGGATCTGTAAAGTTATCAACTAGCTCCAACACACGTGTCACTAAAACCCTCACCTCGACCACCGCAACCACACAACATTCAACCAGCTGTCCTGTGGGGGCCCAAGCTGCGGACTCCACATGTGGTACGTCACGGTTTTATTTAATTTTTTAATCTTGTAAATAATGATTTGGGTATCTATTTTGTTTTTACATTTTCTTTACTTGATGGTTCATTGAAATTACGACTTCAGATATAATCGAATATAAGGTAGTAATCGTATATAATCGAATAGAAGGTAGTAATCTTGAAGTCGTAAATAGAGTATCACAAAATTCCAGTTTTAAAATTGGTTCCTTACAAATGGGAAGTAATGCTAATACAATATTTCCTTTTTGAAAGAAGTTACAAAGAATGCTTTTCTGGAATGAAAAAATTATAAAACAATAAACTGTTAAAATGTCTGATATTGACATTAAAATGATGCCATTCTTTCTCTTTATCCCCCTTCTCTCCTCTTTATCTCTTCTTTCAGTTTCCTCTGTTTCCAGACTTCTTTGCATTTATTAGTGCCAAACAAGTGCAATAAATCTGGAGATATTCTGGGGAAAAAACTCAGAAATTACTGAATTTTTTCACTCATTCTCTGCCCAATGTAATTTCCCTTCCCCATGGGGATCACTGCCCAGAGCAGTGATCGTACAAAGTAAGGAGGAGTGAAATCTTGGATTATTTTCAGGATTTTAAACCATCCAGGTACAATTATAACTTCTTTGTTTTCTCTGATCCCACGAATTGCTTTGGTAACCAGGCATTTTGCAGACATAGCAACGGAGGTTTTTACACCGGCAAGCATCTTGGTGTCTACAATAAATGGGCAGACTGCAGTGAAATTAACTTTTGATTCCATATGATCCAGTCGTAGTTGGTTCAAAGTGTGAATTGAGCCAGCTTTTGCAGTACAGTAATCAGTCGAATTTCTCGACGGAAAGAATCCCAGAACAGATGCCATATTGACAATGTGACCCTCGTCGAGCTCAAGCATCTTTGGCAGAAACAACTTGATGAGCCACAGATTGGAAATAATATTGACTGTTAGTGAATGTTGGATCTGAGTGAGAGTCATATCCTGTAGCCCTCTTCCAAACGCCACTCCAGCATTATTCACTAGGATGTTGATAACAAACCCCGTACCTGATATTTCATCATAAAGGTCCTGTACTTGCTTATGCTTGGTAAGATCACAGGTGTATGGGAAGGCTTCGTGGCCATTTTCTTTTAACTCTGCCACAATTTTCTCCGTCAACTCCTCCTCAATATCTACACAGTGTACAGTGTTCCCCATTTTAGCAAACTGCCGGGCAAACTCTGCTCCAATTCCCTGACCAGCCCCTGTGATAAGAATTTGCTGGTTTCTTATGTCTTTCTTTGGCCTGCATCGGAGGATAAAGTAGATGATTTCCAGTAGTAGGACGAATGGAAGTTTTACGAGAGTCAAAACAAACGACATCTCCAGCTATCTTAAATTTAGGGAAACAGTTAACAGAACAGTGTACATTACATAATATATTGGTTAAATTACATGATGTTCGAATAGAAACACAATAAACTCAGTCAATATAAATAAGCTATCTTAAATATAGAGTAAGATACGGGCTCCTAGATTGGAAAAAAAGACGGATTTGACTGTACTAATAATATATTGGTTAAATTACATGATGTTCGAATAGAAACACAATAAATATACTGTTTGAATGACAGTGTCTGAAACGCAACAAACTCAGCTAATATGAAGAAAGAAAGAAAAATAAATGAAACGGTTAGGTGTCCATTTCAAAACTTAAACTACAGGGTGGCCCAGAAGTATTAAGTAACTGCCCACACGGAACCCGCTAATAACTCATGTAATGCGTATTAGAATTGCACACAAATTTCTGGGATAACTGATAATGATATGGGTCAAACTTAGATTCCCTAAACAACAAAGTTTCGTACAAATTCGTTGATTACAGTGGGCATGCCACTCCTTTTTTTTACTATTTTCGTAAATTTCGTAATAAAATGAGAATTCATTGAGCTATGAAACTCAACATTTTCAAGAAACCTTTGCTTTGGTTAGAAATAGATGAGGTATAGGACACTACAGCAGTCACCACCATGGCGGGACCTTCTCAAAAGGACGAACAGTACGGCGGAATCACAACAATGAACCTGGGGCTGGAATGTAAGGGTCATTCACTATTCATTTTATACACTTCCATTATGGATAAGATGTGAAGTGAAATTGAAAAGGAGATGAATTGTCAAATAATATGATTTTCGCAGACTGAAACATAAAAAACGACTGCAACTTATCAAATTTCTCCAAAGTAGTAAAACTGAAATAACCAACACAATAGAGTTGGTTAACCATGTCAGAGCAGCTGACTGTGAGTGATGTGAGGGATGTGAGCAAATGTGTAGATGTGAACACAAGTATAAAACATCAACACTGTACAGAAATCTTTCCCACTAATCTACGCGGGGATACGTACTTTCGTGAGGCTAATGTTTACAGTAAAACAAGAGGAGTTACCAATTACCATGTGTTATGATAGTCTACTTCCCTCGTATATGAGGCAGGAGCTGATAGTTTAACAACAAAGTGAATAAACTTTTTATTTTGTGACGAAAATAGTAAAAAAGATGGATTGGAATGCCACACCTACTGTAATCAACGAAATTTTACGAAACTTTCAGAGAATAATCAAAGTTTGACACATCTGTAATCCCTGAAATAGTTGTACAACACTAATTCTCATAATTTAAATTACTGGATTTTTTCGATCATCCTCTGTCCGACGAAATTTCCCGTTACGTTCCTTTTAGAATATTCTGTTGCAGCCCAGAGCAGTGATCGTACAAAGTAAGGAGGAGTGAAATCTTGGACTATTTTCAGGATATTAAACCATCCAGGTACAATTATAACTTCTTTGTTTTCTCTGATCCCACGAATTGCTTTGGTAACCAGGCATTTTGCAGACATAGCAACGGAGGCTTTTACACCGACAATCATCTTGGTGTCTACAAAAAATGGGCAGACTGCAGTGAAATTAACTTTTGATTCCATATGATCCAGTCGTAGTTGGTTCAAAGTGTGAATTGAACCGGCTTTTGCAGCACAGTAATCAGTCGAATTTCTCGACGGAAAGAATCCCAGAACAGATGCCATATTGACAATGTGACCCTCGTCGAGCTCAAGCATCTTTGGCAGAAACAACTTGATGAGCCACAGATTGGAAATAATATTGACTGATAGTGAATGTTGGATCTGAGTGAGAGTCATATCCTGTAGCCCTCTTCCAAACGCCACTCCAGCATTATTCGCAAGGATGTTGATAACAAACCCCGTACCTGATATTTCATCATAAAGGTCCTGTACTTGCTTATGCTTGGTAAGATCACAGGTGTATGGGAAGGCTTCGTGGCCATTTTCTTTTAACTCTGCCACAATTTTATCCGTCAACTCCTCCTCAATATCTACACAGTGTACAGTGTTCCCCATTTTAGCAAACTGCCGGGCAAACTCTGCTCCAATTCCTTGACCAGCCCCTGTGATAAGAATTTGCTGGTTTCTTATGTCTTTCTTTGGCCTGCATCGGAGGATAAAGTAGATGATTTCCAGTAGAAGGACGAATGGAAGTTTTACGAGAGCCAAAACAAACGACATCGCCAGCTATCTTAAATATAGGGAAACAGTTAACAGAACAGTGTACATTACATAATATATTGGTTAAATTACATGATGTTCGAATAGAAACACAATAAACTCTGTCAATATAAATAAATAAATAAAATCTTATACCAATTTCAATCAACACAAGTTAATATTTCTATGCAGTGAACTAGCATATAAATTAAAATTCACGATACTGCATAAGGTAAAATAAAATTATTGAAATAAAAGTAGGAATGTATTCGGACCACCTATCTAATGTAAGCTCTCCTGTTCCCTTTAAATCGATTATTTGTTGCTATGACTACATTTAACAACATCTACAAGTTGCGGACATTGGGTCACTAGTCTATACAAAGTGTCACTTGATAAATGCAAATGGTACCTGACAAATTCGATAGAGCGTTGGCAATGAGGTGGTATTGGTAAACCGTAGAAGTATAACACATCGTATTGATATCTGACTGTTAGACTTCTTTACCCGTGTAACCGCTAGTAGCAAGTGACCAGCTATAAGCAGCTTAGCAGAAACGGTATGTCAACAAACTGACAAAGTCTCGCAGTTCATCCTAATTCTAACTAGTAAATAAACAAGATCCGAGTTTTTGAAAGAAACTTATCCTTTTTAGAGCATATATACTTAGTTTCTAGAACAATTATAATTTATATCCAATCCTTTATGACAGAATTAAAGTTGACTTTTGCTGATTCTTATCAGTTATCAACACATACTGTACCACTATAAATTATCTCCAAACATTATGCGGTTCTTGGTGTCTTCATGCAAGATGCGTGAAATCACATCTTTAAGTTTTACTAAATAGTATATTATTGTATGCATAATAATGTGGCCTTTTTATTCGCGTTATATTTCACTGTTAGGTCTTCTTCCCCGTAGGTCTTTTTCCCCGTAACAAAGTTTTAGTCGGAGAATTTAGCAAGGATAAACATAAACCTTTAAATATTAACGTAATCTTCAAGACACGATTGAGGTCTGTACCTAATCTGAATTTTGTGATCAACTTTATCACAATTTGGTTAAACTGGGTCGAATAAATTAAGCAGGGTCCAATGTATTACATGCTAAAATTCAGTATTGTATTATATTTCAGTGTCATGCGGAGTTGGGCTGTACCTTGACGGTACAGCATGTACAAAATGCCCAGTTGGTCAGTACAGCGACAAGGCAGGTCAAGTCTCCTGCAAATCGTGTAGTGATAATCTAACTACACTGTTCCCTGGTAGTTCCAGCAAATCTGACTGTGTTTGTGAGTACTGATAATTATATCCCATATCCAAAAACCCGCATTCTCGCATTCTAAGAATGTAGGAAATTTTAAAAAGTAGGAAATTTTTGACAAAAAGTAGGAAATTCGAGAGCCAACTCTGAGAATTTTCGATAATATTTCAGTAGGAATTTAAGTGAAAGAGCAGACTAAAAGTTGCTGGACCGTTATTTAAATGTCCTCAGTCAGGGATCCACTGATCCAGTCTATCAAATTTCGTTTCACAGACCAAAGTTTGTTGCTATTAGCTACAAAATCTGTGCATCAAGTAACCACTAACCAGATGCTAATTATTGGGGCATTTTCGCGTACACGACATAAATAGTTGTCATTATTACTTTATTAACATTTTACTATCTACTTATCTAGTCTATGAAACCGGATATGTCTACAGTGTCACCCCAGTGTCACCCAGGGCATCAGCAGGCACGTAGACAGGGGGGGGGGCCGGGGGGGGGCTAGGGGGGGAAAAAATCGGAATAAATCGAACCCCAGAAAAAAGATAAGCCCCCTAGTCCCCATGGTCGCCTGGTAACTGGGCTGTGTTTATGACTGCAGTCAGTCAAAGATTTGAACTGTGGATTAGTAAATATCTGTCATAACATCCAAGCAAACATTCTAGAAGACTTCTATAAATAGTCAATAGTGTCCCCTAGACCGTAGGAAATGTAAAAATCTTAAGACGATGAGGTGAAGTTACCAAATTTACGTGAGTATTTGATTCTTCTCAATCCCAGTTTATTGCTGTCCTACAAATTTCTTTAATGCCAAATGTCGTCTAAAACACCCTTTTTCGCAAAAAATTTCCGGGGGGCTGCGCCCCCCTAGCCCCCGCCAAGGGGCTCCGCCCTGGACCCCGATGGGGGCTGCGCCCCCAGACCCCTGCCACAGCTTGCTCGCTGCGCAGCTGGATTGCAGACAGCCCCCCTCAAAGAAAAATCCTGGCTACGTCCCTGGGCATCAGCCCTATGAATTCATGCCGAATCAACCTAAGTTGAGGTAGCTATCACATTAAGACATTAATCGGGTGGAAAACATTTTTGCCAAAATTATAAACTCTTGATACTTCATGCTGTCTCCTATTTTGTGCTTTAGTTAAGCCAAGTGTTTAGGGATTCTAGAATCCAGACAATTTATCCCAATAAAAATTGAAATCAGAAAATAGTATGCTAAAATCGTTCTCCATTGTCAGATTCGTTCCAGGAGGCCAAATCTAGTTTAAATTTCCAAAATTTTCGGGGGCTTCGCCCCCAAAAGTAACCTAGGATTATCTATTAAAAAGCATTCCGGGCCCTAAAAAAGTAAAATTGAGAATCTGGAATCCGCCATGAAAAATCTTTGAACTGCGCGAATACAAAGACTTTTTATGCGAGCGGGCCACAGAAAACGAAAAAATTGAGAATGTAGGAAATTAAAAATTTTTTGGATATGGGAATTATATAATTATAAATATATTTTATTTAATCAAAAGTTGTTGAATAATTATTCCGTTCCATTCATCATTCGATAAATGGTTAATTTTACAGTCATATCTGCACAGCATGTTTGTATTTCATGTTCATTAAATCGAACGTGAATGGAACGTTCTACTTGAATTTAACTAAGATGACCGTTACAAGTTTATGTTTTGAAATAAATTTAGAGGTCGAAAACTTAGAGGAGAACTCGATTTAACGTCATATCTAAAGAGATGTTCAAGTTTTGAAGTTACAATAAAAAAGGTAAATATTAACACACTGAACTTCCTAAATATCAGACAAGTGCACGGTACCGGAGCTTAGTAACGGAGTATCAGTACCTGCTGTTGGCTTCTTCACCACCAACACTACCCTTATAACTCTTAACTGTAACTCTGGTAAGTAACTCCTCTACACTTTTTATGTATTTCTTCATCCCCAAATCTCAATATTTATGTGATCATTACTTTTTCCTTAGTGTGGCATGTAAAAATTGGTTGTTAAAACTCTGCTTTAAAAAAACAAAGGCTGTTAAGAAAGTTATGAAATATTGGTAGTGATAACACGTTCAGTTACTCCGCCCCCCCCCCCCCCCCCCCCCTACTCCCATCTCTCTCACCAGGGCACAACCCCGGATACAAGGAACCCCTCAAATACATGTGCAACCAAACCTACTCCTGCTACCCACAATGTCAGCTCCCTAACCTAGCAACAAATCAGAGTTACCATGACAACCACCTCGCGCCCGGAGTCCTGGTCTCGCACCTGCGTCTCTTCTCTGTCTCGTGTCTCGGAGTGAGGGACAGTGTGACTTGTAAGGCGGGGACTGTCCAGATTCCTGACTGTAAACCTAGTGAGGAAAACTCTTAATATTTTTTATAGAATTTATTGCTCAAGAACAAAGCACATAGATAAGTAGGATCTCCAAAACAAATCCACTGCACGCCCTTATGTATTAATTAAATCTGAGAACACCTGCTTCCCTAAGCCTAACCAGATTTCTTCAACAGACTTGCTGAGTCCGTGTAACATCTAGACATCGTGTTTTTAGCTCCAACTATATCTTCAGGAGTTGAAGCAGTAGGAGCGGAGAAAGTGAAATCCTCAACACCTGCTGAAATAGAGTGTAACGTATCAGCAGTGTTACAGACTGTTAATATTACTTGGTTCTCTGAAGGTCTGCAGATCGCACAGGGTGCTGACTACTACACTATAACAGAAAGTGATTGGAACGAAACTAGTTACAAACAAAGCAGTTCCCTGCAAATAGGAGTTTCTAAGACGGATAAAGACAGGGAGTTTCAGTGCAAAGTTGTTGGAGGAGATTTGAATCTTTCTTTGGATTTAAAATTAGACGTGTTTGGTAAGTTTAGTATATTATGTGGAGATATTTATGAATGCTTAATTTTCCTCGCCAGATACTGTTATTCTATTTCTAACACGCGCTACAAGCTCAGTATCGTAAATGTTGTTTTTTTGGTAAGATGTTTTCATCTTCATCCCCTGATTTCTACCACCCCAGATATTACGGGTAAAGGAGACCGAGTAGACGCGGGTGACACATCAACTCTCACCTGCACCATCACGGGCTCCAGCTCCATTCTCAACGTCACCTGGTCACGTGTTGGTGACGTCACGTTGCCAGGTGATGTTACCACGTCAACCGGCACGTGGAGTGCGGGCACTCAGGTCGCTACTCTCGTGCAGAAAAACGCTCAGAGTAATAGCACGTTTAGATGTGGAGTCGAGGATGGGGCAGGAAAGAAGCACTTTGTGAACATCGGCCTTCAAGTGATTCCTGGTGAGTACTCAGTCACTGTCGATCTCTTCACATGCTATCGATCTGTAAATTTAATGACGTAATAATATTGGATAGCAGTGCCAGCAGTATTATATCGCAATATCTTTCGACTTATTTTCTGTCCGTCGTACGACATTTATTGGTTTTCAATTTCGGTTTTATCATTTTGAACGCTGAAGTAATAAAGTATTTTTTGCACGTGCGTACAGCACTGACGCGCAATTCTATGCACACAGATTCTGACGCACGTGTGCCATTGTTAAAATTTTCGGGTTGTTTGGCGCGTTGTACGTGTAAAAGTTTGGCGTGTGCCTCTTTCTACCTTCGCGTTCGCAATTGTCATTTTCTGTGGTTTTCTTTTTTATACTTCTGACGATCAACAGTTCGTAAATGTGACCGAATCCTAATACGTGATCAAAACTATGGAGGTTCCTTCGATTTAGATGACAGTTTCTGAAGTCTGAACCGAAATGAAAGAATCGCAATATTTTTAAAATATCATGGAGATCCTTCTCAATAACAATACTCTTTCCTCTCAGAAGTGCCAGACAAGGGAGGAAGTCCACGTGGAACAGCTCCCATATTCTATCTGCTCTTCATCTCAGCACTCCTCTCACTAATGTGAACATGACATGGCACATGCAGTTTGATAATATTAAAAGTGAACTGTTTTATGAACTGCTTGTTTGCATTTCTTTCCGTGACATTGATGCTGTTTCTCTCTGTTTGTCCACAGTGTGTGACACCAACTAAATCCACGAAATGCGTGAACCAAAACTAGTTACGAATAACAGGTGTGCTACTGATCCCGTTGATACCTTTCCCGTTGATACCTTTCCCGTTGATATGAAGTCTTTGTGTGGCTGATACTAATTTTAATTTTTCGGCTACATGTTTACAAATTGCAAAACAGCACGAAAACTTAGTTTCGGCCACATTTCGGCTGCAAACTTGTAGATAAAAGAAAAAATTACATGAATTTTACCTGATATGATAGTGGTATAATAAACTGTATGCATTTTTACGAACCTTGTAGTTATTCTGATCATTTGACTTTTTAACTTCTTAACTTAACATGACGATAGTGTTTTATTCAGTAAATAAGAATGAATGAAATATATCTCGTTACTGGGCGGCGCCAGACTCTCCCTCTTACGAACATTCGATCGGAATTAGTGGCCTGAAATCTCAGCGGAAACATAATAACGTCTCTATTTCTTCAATATATTCTATCTGATTTATTGTACTCTGCTTTCTAATTTCCCCCTGCTGGTCCCATATATCCTGCTCACAGAACCAGTGTAATACTACAGTCTACACACAACATGGTGAACTGTGCATATTCTAGTGTGGATTGTTTGTTATTATTGGTGCCGCTCAGTAATGTATTCTGCTGTGTGTTTTGACGCTTCTTTCTGTCGTTTTAACCGATCATTATCTGCTAAAACAATGGCTGTCTATTGTCCATTAAAAGGTGACCCAGTACCCTATTATTAAAGACTTAATGACAACTGTTAGACAATTTATCCTGGTTAACTTCAAGTGTGGTTATCATGTAATTATACTGTAATAACTAATAACCCCATATCTAATTTCAATGTGGCTTATATAAGATGGTGCAGGTACCCTCCTCCTGTTTGAACACGTCACTTAAACGCTAACTTTCTTTGTCCCTCTGTGTCCCTTAACAATATAACAAGTTTTTGTGGAGACCACGTGATAGACACGTGATGGGTTGTAGTTGCTAAGCTACGTGTCTCTTTGTAGGTACATGTGCACGTGGTGATATATAGTGCAGTAGCAGCTGCTGGTCTCACTCTCAGTACCTCGCTTTGAAGTCGTTTTAGTTTCATTCACCCACCCCTAAATGGATCATCTGCTGTTAGTAATTCTCGTTTTTTTCTTGGCTACGTTTTATTCTTTGTTTTTTACTCCATCAAATTATCTTTATCATCAGCTTTTAATTTTGGTTCAAGTATACGCTGAGTTTTTTTGCTGGCTGTATCTGTCTGGAAACCAGGAGTATTAACGCTATTCTCATTACAGATTATTCACGGTTGCCATATTGACGCTGTGTTCAGCTCAACTTCCATCCTTCAAACAAGAGTTTATTTACGAGGATGAGCTGAAATGTACCAGTAAGTAACTTACTACTACTACTACTACTACTACTACTACTACTAATACTACTACTACTACTAATACTACTACTACTACTAATACTACTACTACTACTAATACTACTACTACTACTACTACTACTACTTGTACTGCAGTATTATCAATACTTCAACCTTGCCAATCATGAGCTGCCGACCCAATAAAGTTATTTTTGCAGTTATTGTATTTACAGGGGATTTTAAGTGATATTGATAAGTTTGGTACTCTCTAATGCTGCCAAATGATAGTTACGGCGGTTACTCTGTTGTTATTATACCATTTCAACAGCATAATATTTCCATACAATCATAACAATCCCTCTCTCTCAGCTTGCAGACTTGTTGTTGATGAAATCTCCTTCAAATTCGAAAAAGTCAATCCTAAAGCTAAGATAGAGGTATGTTTCAAGACTGAACTATTTACTTATCCATTCGTTATTTCCTAAGATTCTCATGCTTTTTATATTACCAATAATAATAATACAAGGTTCCATTTCCGTGTTCTCTGTGCAACCTTACTGTCAGTATAAATCTTCACGAGGTAATAATAATGCAAGGTGTCATATTTATGTGTTTTTGCACCCCGACTATCAATCTTTTAACCACAACCTATAATGTTTCAACTTGTCAGACTGGTCAGTCTGGAATCACACCAGAAGGAGAGTACAAACAAAAGAAGATTCCCTATCTTCTCAGTGATTCTCATATAACGGAAATATTGGACCTTGTCTGTGATAACAGGTACATTTGCAACCATTATTTCTATCATTATCCTAAACAATGAACACTAGGAAAACTCCGATTTGTCATGCCAGTGAAAGCAGGATTAATGAACGAATAGTGTGACATTGGGTTCTCAACCATGGAAATTTAGAAGTCCCTACATGCTGTTCTTTCTGGCTCCATGTGCTAGTTAGGGGTCTGAGGTATCCGAAAAATCATGTTTTGAGTACCCAAAGTGTTCTGGGTGCCAGGAATGAGGTTATTAAAGCGGCGAAAATGACCGATTTTGGACTATTTATGAGCTTTTTTGCCCATTTTCATGAGATAAAGAATCAGGAAAGCTGCTCTAGATGATTGAAATGGTTGATACCAATGAGGATACACCCAACACACATAAATATTCGTGATATATGTGATTTTAATGAGAAAAATATGATCTCAGGGCCCATTTTATACCAAAATTTGCCAAAACCACTCGCACTTGTCAAAGCTTCCTCATTTTAGACACATTTAATGATTATTATGGTATCTAACTTATGGTGGATCTGATAGGAGTATGTCTTAGCTTCATTTTAAGCCATCAATGAGCATGCTGGTGTGTATGAAAGTACTTTTATCCTCCCGTGGCCGTCCATTGATATAGTCTGGGCCATGCGCGCGCGCGCGCGCTTTTACAAACATGAATTTTCTCCCTCAGTATCTATCTAAATCTTTTAAAGACATGATTTGAATGCTATCCTACTCAGCACATGAGTGCTACAGGATGGTGAAAGAATTTCTATAAAAAATATGTGTGTGCGCGCGCGCGCGCGCTTTTACAAACTTGATATCCTCAGTCCTTTCACATATACTGAGATTTTGTTTCAAACTTAATTGACTCTGAACCGAAATTGCCAAAGGAAACAGATAGTGTAACTCAGAAAGACCACAAATGTATAGTTTGTGAGATATTGAGGTTATACTCCAAATAATTTACAATGATGTCACACCAGAAAACCTCTATTTTTGGTATATTTAACCTCATATCTTGAACGCGCAGTACTGGATTGAGCTAAACTTGGTCAGGTTTTGTAGCCCTGACTATCCTCGATCATATGGAACAGGAATAAAACTGTTTAGATGTTCTATCTTAATTATATTAGGCACTTAGTTCTGAAAAGTGAGAATGTCATTAATACTGCTTTCACTGTCGCAACTGTTGACTTTGCTAATTCCTGTTTTATAATTGTGACTGTGTAAACGATGTAATTGTAAAATACTTGAATTCTTTGGTCGCAGTTATTGAGTAACACTCGCCATAATATTTCCTGTGGTTAAGACAAGCTGTTATTACACTTTATGTAAAGGAATTCAGGAATTGTGTAACTGCGAATACCACCACAAAAACATTTCCCTGTGGTGTAACGGTATTTAATTTCAGTTGGCACTACGTCCAGATGGGTTACGATCCTATTAACAAGATGCCTCATATCCAACGTATGAACAGTTTGCGGGGTGATCCCGTCGACTTGGACGGCAGTAAGATTAATATCCAGGATAAAGAAGTCACTCCTGACAAAATAAAGCGTGCCGTAAGTTCAATCTTTTCATATAATACCCGAGTTGTGAATGTTTTTGGTGTGTTTATTTTTGGTGTTTCGTTTGTAAGCTTGCAGACATTCGATTTGGGCCGAATTCTGCTACTTGAGCACTTAGCAGTACATAAAACAGTACGCCCATTAATTTCCAACAATTTCAGTGCTTTTCTTTTGTGGAAAAGTACGAGGACGAGATAGTGGAAGTGTTCGTGAAGCTTGTGCAGAGTAAGAGTTTTGTCGAGAAGAGGAAGAGTCCTCTGAAGAAAGCCCTGAAAAGGCTTTGTAATGATAAAGGTAAGAGAGAGAGAGAGAGAGAGAGAGAGAGAGAGAGAGAGAGAGAGAGAGAGAGAGAGAGAGAGAGAGAGAGAGAGAGAGAGAGAGAGAGAGAGAGAGAGAGAGAGAGAGAGAGAGAGAGAGAGAGAGAGAGAGAGAGAGAGAGAGAGAGAGAGAGAGAGAGAGAGAGAGAGAGAGAGAGAGAGAGAGAGAGAGAGAGAGAGAGAGAGAGAGAGAGAGAGAGAGAGAGAGAGAGAGAGAGAGAGAGAGAGAGAGAGAGAGAGAGAGAGAGAGAGAGAGAGAGAGAGAGAGAGAGAGAGAGAGAGAGAGAGAGAGAGAGAGAGAGAGAGAGAGAGAGAGAGAGAGAGAGAGAGAGAGAGAGAGAGAGAGAGAGAGAGAGAGAGAGAGAGAGATAAGATAGATTTCTGTAATTGTACTTGTGTTCACATGACAGCCAAATACTGTTTTTAGGGATTTAAGTTCCATTACAAACATAGTGCCGGATTTATTCTGTATCATTAATTTGATTCATATTTTGAATTATTTTCAGATTTCTGTTCTCCGGACTTCCACAAGACGCTTGCAAAGACCGAATTGTAAGGGCATTGAAAAAGATATTCAAAATATAAACTCAGCTCAAATTTGTTCACTGTTAACTTATTTATTTGAGATTAATTAAGTTCATATTCTAATCACTAACGATATATATCATATTTTTAAATTAAATGGAGGGTTTAAGTTTATTATGTTCAAATAGAGCAAGTGTTTGGAATCGAATACACAACTTTCATATTAAGTTATTGTACTATTGATCAAGTTTTGGCTTTTCTTCCATTGTGATTTCATATTGAAATCAATTATTTCCATTCTTCATAATCATACAAGCGCCACTACAATCTTATTGAATATATCATACTATATTGAAGATAACATCGATGATATGCTGCTCAAATATAGTTGTCAGTGCAGCTGCGTATTTGGTATTGTTTACTCATAGTTTATAATGTAGTTACAAAATTCGTATTTTTCTATGATTCAAACTAAAAACGGTCAATCTTCATTGTTTGTAAAAAAAATTCAAATTGTAGTTGTTTCCTATGTGGACCTTGCATGATTTGTCATTATTAATAGACTAACCCGCCGTCCGCTACTTTGTAGCACTTGCCTGATATCAGATAATTCGAGAAGAAAGCGGCGCGCGCTACTTCGAAGAAATTTAGACGAGTAACATCCGTCAAGCGTTAATATATAAGTACTTCGAAGAAATTTATACCAGTAATTCATATATATAATATGCTTGATTCACGATGTCAATCCTTCGCAGCTCGGTGAGGCACAGTGGTGCATCTCGCCGATCTACCGAAGCATTATTTGATGCGCGCGCGACCCAGTAGTGCATCGCGCTACAAATAATATGCGAATAGTGACTAGGTTAACTTGAGCGCACGCAACCACAAAAAACTTTGTCATACGTTGTATGACCCGCCGCGCACGAGTGCGCGGCTCCCCCTGTATCGTCGAAACTCTACAGTGAAGCAAATCTCTATAGTGAAGCGACCGTGGGGGTCACCGCGTGATACAAAAAAACTCTTACTGGGCCGCGCTCAGCCTGTCATTCCGCCAAATCTTTATTCAATTATGTTATTATGTTAATGAACATAATAGCCTGGGGTCCTCAGGTAAAAAAACTCATGTCACTATGAAGAAATTAAGTTAAATAATTATTTTACATCCTGTGTGCTGTGCTTGTCCTTTGTTAATGGACTAGCCCGGCGCGCTACATCGTTAACGGGTGATACTCGTAAAATATCTGTTCCATATATTGTACGGGCGAAAAAGTTGGTCGCGCGCAGTACGCCGCGCTTTTGGTGTTGACCATTGGTGGCAGGTACTTTTTGTCCTATTATGTCACGGCGCAGTACTGCACGCACACTACACACTGATAAAGCCAGAAGGACTTTCGACAAATCTGTTCCAAATAAAAAGATCGAAAATCGAGTGTTTTAGTGAATAACTTAGAATATAATTTTGATTTTCTCAAGATCTGACTGATAGATTTTCTTTAAACTTTCCAGATAGTTACATGGCTATATGACAGATAATGTGTGACAGTTTGGGAGAATTTCTATATGCCAAAATGGAGATATGACTTCAAACACAAGAAAATATCTCAAAATGGCGGTTTCTAGCGGAACGCAGGCACATATTTCAAGATCCTACCGATAAATTTTCTTTAAACTTTCCAGATAGTTGTATGGCTATAAGACAGATAATCTGTGCGATTTTGGGCGAGTTTCTATGTGCCAAATTTGAGATGTGACTTCAAACACAAGAAAATATCTCCAAATTGGCGATTTCTAGCGGAAAAAAGTCATATATCTCGAGATCTGAATGATAGAATTTTTTAAAACTTTCCAGATTGTTACATGGCTATAATACGGATAATCTGAGCGAGTTTGGGCGAATTTTCATGTGCCAAATTTGAGATATGACTTCAAACACAAGAAAATATCTCAAATTGGTGCCTTCTAGCGGAACGCAGGCATATATTTGGAGATCTGAATGATAGAATTTCTTTAAACTTTCCAGATAGTTACATGGCTATAAGACGGATAATCTAAGCGAGTTTGGGCGAATTTCTATGTGCCAAACTTGAGATATGACTTCAAACACAAGAAAATATCTCAAATTGGCGCATTCTAGCGGAACGCAGGCATATATTTCGAGATCTGAATAATAACATTTCTTTAAACTTTCCAGATAGTTACATGGCTATAAGACGGATAATCTGAGCGAGTTTGGGCGAATTTCTATGTGCCAAACTTGAGATATGACTTCAAACACAAGAAAATATCTCAAATTGGCCCGTTCTAGCGGAACGCAGGCATATATGCAGGAGGAGGTGTAGGGGGAAGAGGACTCAGGAGGAGGTGGACTTAGAAGGAGGAGGACTGAGGAGAAGGAGGAGGAGGAGGAGGAGAAAGAGGTGGAGGAGGAAGAGGACTGAGGAGGATGTGGAGTGTGGACTCAGGAGGAGGAGGACTCAGGAGGAGGAGGAGGATGGGGACTTAGGAGGACTGAGGAAGAGGAGGAGGTGGAGGAGGAAGAGGACTCAGGAGGAGGAGGACTCAGGAGGAGGAGGACTCAGGAGGAGGAAGACTCAGGAGGAGGATAAGGACTCAGGAGGAGGACTCAGGAGGAGGAGGACTCAGGAGGAGGAGGAAGATGAGGATGAGGAAGACTGAGGAGGAAAAGAAAGACTGAGGATGAGAAGGAGGACTGAGGAGGAGGAGGAGGAGGGGATGAGGGGGAGGAGGAGGAGAAGACGACTGATGAGGAGCCAGGAGGAGGAGAAGGACTGAGGAGGAGGAGGAGGACTGAGGAGGATGAGGAGGAGGAAGAGAAGGAGGAGAAGGAGGTGGACGAGGAGGAGTGAGGACTGATGAGAAGGAGGAGGACTGACGAGGAGGAGGACTGATGAGGAGGACGAGGAAGGGATGAGGGGGACGAGGGAGAGGAGGAGGAGTTGAAGGAGGTGGGGGAGGAGGACTCAGGGGGACTCAGGAGGAGGAGGATTCAGGAGGAGGAAGATGAATATGAGGACTGAGGAGGAGGACTGAGGAGGAAAAGGAGGAGGAGGAGGACTGAAGAGGAGGATGAGTAGGGGATGAGGGGGAAGAGGAGGAGAAGGAGGTGGAGGAGGAGGAGGAGGAGGAGGAGAAGGAAGTGGAGGAGGAGCAGGAGGTGGAGGAGGAGAAGGAGGTGGAGGAGGAGGAGGACTGAAGAGGAGGAGGAGGACTGAGGAGGAGGAGGAGGAGGGGATGAGTGGGAGGGAGGAGAGGAGGGGGAGGAGGAGGAGGATAAGGAGGAGGTGAGGCAGGAGGAGGAGGATAAGGAGGAGGTGAGGCAGGACGACTGATGAGGAGGAGGAGGAGGACTGACGAGGAGGAGGACTAAGGAGAAGGAGGAGGTGGAGGACTAAGGAGAAGGAGGAGGAGGATGACTCAGGAGGAGGAGGAAAAGGAGGACTGGGATGAGGGGAGGAGGGAGATAAGGTGGAGGAGGACTCAGGAAGAGGAGGACTCAGGAGGAAGAGGTGGAGGAGGAAGAGGACTCAGGAGGAGGTGAACTCAGGAGGAGGAGGACTCAGGGATACTCAAGAGGAGGAGGACTCAGGAGGAGGAGGAGGATGATGATGAGGAGAACTGAGGAGGAGGAGGAGGGGATGAGGGGGAGGGAGAGGAGGGGGAAGATGAGGAAGAGGAGGTGGATGAGGAGGATGAGAAAGAGGAGGATGAGGTGGAGGAGGAGGACTGATGAGGAGGAGGAGGACTGATGAGGAGGAGGAGGACTGACGAGGAGGAGTATGACTTAGGAGGAGGAAGACTGAGGAGGAGGAAGAGAACGCGCCAATTTAAGATATTTTCTTGTGTTTAAAGTCATATCTCGAGTTTGACACATAGAAATTCGCCCAAACTCGCTCAGATTATCCGTCTTATAGCCATGTAACTATTTAACTATCTAGAAAGTTTAAAGAAAATTTATCAGTAGGATCTCGAAATATGTGCCTACGTTCCGCTAGAACGCGCCAATTTGAGATATTTTCTTGTGTTTGAAGTCATATCTCAGGTTTGGCACATAGAAATTCGCCCAAAATCGCACAGAATATCCGTCTGATAGCCATACAACTATCTGGAAAATTTAAAGAAAATTTATCAGTAGGATCTCGAAATATGTGCATGCGTTCCGCTAGAAACCGCCATTTTGAGATATTTTCTTGTGTTTGAAGTCATATCTCAGGTTTGACACATAGAAATTCGCCCAAAATCGCACAGAATATCCGTCTCATAGCCATACAACTATCTGGAAAGTTTAAAGAAAATTTATCAGTAGGATCTCAAAATAATCGAGTTTCGTCAAATATCGTTCCGAAACCGCCAATTTGAGATGTTTTCATGAGTTTGAAGTCATATCTCAAGTTTGGCACATAGAAATTCGCCCAAACTTGCTCAGATTATCTGTCTCATAGCCATACAACTATCTGGAAAATTTAAAGAAAATTTATCAGTAGGATCTCGAAATATGTGCCTGCGTTCCGCTAGAACGCGCCAATTTGAGATATTTTCTTGTGTTTGAAGTCATATCTCAGGTTTGGCACATAGAAATTCGCCCAAACTTGCTCAGATTATCTGTCTTATAGCCATACTACTATCTGGAAAGTTTAAAGAAAATTTATCAGTAGGATCTTGAAATATGTGCCTGCGTTCTGCTAGAACGCGCCAATTTGAGATATTTTCTTGTGTTTGAAGTCATATCTCAGGTTTGGCACATAGAAATTCGCCCAAAATCGCACAGAATATCGGTCTCATAGCCATACAACTATCTGGAAAGTTTAAAGAAAATTTATCAGTAGGATCTCGAAATATGTGCATGCGTTCCGCTAGAAACCGCCATTTTGAGATATTTTCTTGTGTTTGAAGTCATATCTCAGGTTTGGCAGATAGAAATTCGCCCAAAATCGCACAGAATATCCGTCTCATAGCCATACATCTATCTGGAAAGTTAAAAGAAAATTGATCAGTAGGATCTCAAAATAATCGACTTTCGTCAAATATCGTTCCGAAACCGCCAATTTGAGATGTTTTCATGAGTTTGAAGTCATATCTCAAGTTTGGCACATAGAAATTCGCCCAAACTTGCTCAGATTATCTGTCTCATAGCCATACAACTATCTGGAAAATTTAAAGAAAATTTATCAGTAGGATCTCGAAATATGTGCCTACGTTCCGCTAGAACGCGCCAATTTGAGATATTTTCTTGTGTTTGAAGTCATATCTCAGGTTTGGCACATAGAAATTCGCCCAAAATCGCTCAGAATATCCGTCTTATAGCCATACAACTATCTGGAAAGTTTAAAGAAAATTTATCAGTAGGATCTCAAGATAATCGACTTTCGTCAAATATTGTTCCGAAACCGCCAATTTGAGATGTTTTCATGAGTTTGAAGTCATATCTCA